TCGAATTTGCAATCCGTGAAGGAGCAACCCTTGGCCGAAGAGTAGTCCCGGCACAGCAGACGGGTCTTGCCCTTGTCCTCAAACTTTGTGATCCATTTAGCCCCAGTTTGACCAGACTGACCCCCGATCGCACCTCGACCTTTGCCGCCGCCCTTCTGCTTGCCTTTGCCCCCAGGAAGCCTTGGAGGACCAGGTGGGATAGCGAACTTTTTGGGCACCGCCACCCGGGACTGCAGTAACGAAGCCATGTCCCCCCTGATCTCCGTGTACTCTGTCAGAGCATCATCCAAGGACCAGCCATGAAGATTGACCAGATCGGCCATCTGGCACCATAGCTGACGATCTGCCTGCATGATTTCCTCAGCAAACGGATTGCGAATGCCCGCCTCACATTTTTGCGTCGCCAGTTTGATGAACTTGCGCTCAAACTTGCGAAGGCTGGCAAGGTGCGCGCCCTGAAGCATCGCTACAGCCACTGAAACCAAGCCCAAGATGCCCGAGAGATAGTTCGCGCCAACTGCTCCAGCTGGTATCTCGCGCTGGGGAACGTCGTCGTATATCAGCTCTTCTAACCGAGGCACCTTAGCTGGGCGCCGCAAAGCCAGGGAGTCCTGTTGGGCCTGGCTCATCCTGATTTTCCACGGGATCCACCGCAGCTCTCCTTTTTGAATGACCTTAGCCACGTAAGCTAGCAACCTGGCCGACGGATAATTGTCGGGATCTAAGATCTCCCCCGGGTAGCGGGCGTGAAACTGTTTCTGAAGAGACATCACACGTTCGCCTGAAAGCTTGGGGGGAAACTGTTCTGACCAGCTCGAGGTAGACAACCCCGAATTGATGTCGTTCTCCTCTTGGCGCTTAAGTCTCGTAAAGCAGTCGTAGCGAAGAAAGCAGAAGCAGGCGCTGAGCAGTGGATGGCGGTTCCACGGTGCCCTCGAGTAGATCCTTGAGCGCCTCGTCCAAAGCTGAGGAATCAGCTGCAATGCAGCCGAAAAGGCTGACATCAAATCCCGCGAGAATCCCATGATAATCAGGCGGGACTTTGCACTGATCTGCCAAGGCCACCAAAGCTTCGTTCAGCAGCGCAGGCAGAGCTTCGGGTTCGCCATCCGTCATCACCCTAGCACAATGGTACTCGAAAGAGGCCAGCTACTAATCTGCATAAAGTCTGGTGCCGGAGCCGGCACGCCACACGAGATCATAAGAAGCCAACTCAGCCTCGACCTCACCGGCCGAAAAAAAACAGCCGGGACCGCAAGGCAGCCGACGCACCCTGACTGTTTGTCCAAGATACCCTAAGCTACCCGGGCCTACCCCGAAGTTATTTCGATCACCGGACAATCGCTCTAAACAATGCCGCACGCTGTGGAATCATTTGCCGCACCCAAACTTGAACGTACTGCACATTCATGTTTCTCCAGCGCCTTTTCTGACATCCAAAATTGACGCCAAGTGTGCATTCTGCAGTCCCGGATGTGTACCGATCGCCCTTGCGCAGAAACAGTCCCCTCGATGCCCGGCGAGCTTGCCAACGCATGCGAGGATCGCCATACCCGACAGTGCAGTACGCAAAAGAAGATGCTGGCCGACTGAAGCCGCTCCAGCCACCAACCTATGACACAAAAATTGCCTGACATGCTTTATGTCGGCAAAATCTGGGGTTCGACGGCAGCTCAGGTCTGATATTCATGTTATGCGCCAAGGTGCCACACCGCGGCTTGACCCGAACAAGCTCACCGTCCTCGCGCTTCACCAAAACCCCATCACACCCGGAGCATGGAGTAGCAGCATGAATGATGCCAGACGATGTCTGAACCCAAATCTGCTCATCACATTCCGAGAGCCTATTGCCTGCCTTCACTAAGGAACCTTGCTTCTTGCCCGAATCCGACGACGAAGAAGATGATGAAGAATCAATGTCCGAGTCAGATGATTCCTGCTGTGCCTCGGGCTGAGGATGTGCCTGCGCTTGCTCCTGAGCCGGGGTATGCACTGAAGATGCCGATGAGCCAGCCTCCACTGGGAAGCGATGATGAGCAGGAGACGAAGAGTAGGCCAAGACCTTCGGTTCAATGGCTTGTTGCTCAGCTGGTTGCTGACCGCCGCGAGCTTGCGGGTTCAGCGGCAACCAATTGCTACGGACCCGATCCCAAAAGAGCTGTTGAAGGGAAAGTGCTCCATGTACATCATCCCTGCTATAAAGAAGAACGCAGCCATTCTGTCCGTTTCTGTGATGACCTTGAAGTCCTCGTTTGCGAAACGACACCTGCAGTTGTGCCAACGCAGCCAAAAGACAAGTCTTCAGGGAATGTAGAGTGTATGAGGCTGCCTCCGTGGGACTCATGCCAGCCAACACCAAAATCCCCCTGAATGCCGATAAAGCTTGCGCGTATAGCTGCCATTCTGTGGAGCTGGAGATGAAGAATAAAGCGTCCGGAACTGTCTCCCCAAAGCGCGAAACAATTGAATCCCATTCGGAACCCAACAGAAACAGGTATTTGCACACCCAACTATGATAGTAGGACCCTGAGTCGCCGTAGTAGCCACAAGAAACGAAGCCGAATGGCATCCCCCGCCGGGAGGACTTTGTTCGATATGAAATGGCCCTCACATTGTCTTGGGCAGCTTGAATCGATGTCCATAAAATGTGTTGCGCATCGGAGAAGCGGAGGCTGGCCGATGCCGAAATGAGAATTGCGCCCAAAAATAATCTGAACCCCACTGAACCCGACTCCAGTAGAAGGGCACGCTCACAGTAAGCCAACACATAAATCGGAAGCGGAAGAGCCTCCTTTCTGTCGGAAGTAATGCGAGCCTCCACTCCAACCAAGAGACCTCCATAGAGATCTGGCAGGGCAAGCCCAAACGTCTTGGCGGCCCAGCGAACCGCCTTCAAACCATTGGTGACATGTGAGCCTGACTTGTGCATAGACAGAAGAGCATCGACCACCTCAAGCTGTCGAATGGACTCCCAGCGCACGTTTAAATCCTGTAATGTTCCCACGAACTTCAGCAGATGAGCCAAATATCGAACCAAAGTGTTTTCCGAAACCGACTTCAGCAGATTCTGCAACAGGGTGGAAGCGTGACGAGACTCCCCGAGCTCCTGCAACACTGAAGAAATCGTCTGTAACCATGGTTGAATCAGTGCCCACAACTTCAAGCATCTCTGCCAGACTTCAGCGTGCAACATCGCAGATGATTTGAAGCCCTCGGTACCCCGAGGGCGAACCCCACCAACCGAATGTAACTGTGCGTTGAGGGGCCTGCGAGTCGAACCAGCCGGAGCCATCCCAGCTGAGTCCACGACAGGTCCAATCGGAGCCTGATGCCTGACTGGTGCATGCCTGAAATAATCTGCAGCTCTGCGAGGGGCAGGAATAGGAGCAGGAGCCTCCCTAAAGTAGGGTGCTGAACGTCGAGGTCTAACTGCCGGCTGAGACAGAGGGTTCGGCTCAATCCAGTTGCCCCGTGGGCGTCGAGCAGCTTCTGACAAGCGAACAGGATGATCAGCCCCCGAATGCGCGGGACGAGCCACAGTCTGCAATGGCATAAATGAATCAAAAGCCCCAATCACCCCGTCGGACGATGACTCCATTGAACTTCAAACCGCAGGCCAGCTAGCAAAGGGGGCCCCGCTCCACGAAGCGAAGCAGATCACCTGGCCAGCAGGAGAGGCAGAGACATGTGAAGCATCAAAATGCCAAAGTGCAGTTCCGCATTCCGCTGACCAAAGTGAAAAGGCAGCTGAAGCAATCACCAGCATTTGTGCCAGAGCTAAAGGGGGCCTGGTACGCAGCATGAGGGGAAAACCCCCCCTACGAAACCGGCCGCAATCCTAAAGCTAACATGCCTCTATGCGCTGTTGGAAGTTGCTCAATCTAGCATGCTGCATACAACACCTGTCGCCTGAAGCATAGGTCTAAGCCACCATGTGCACATGATTGCCGCGCTATGGTGCATTTGAGCCCGCCGATCGCAAAGAAGGAGTTTTCTCACCCCTCACGCAACAAGGGGCAATCAAGCTCGATTGGCACGCATGAGCAAAAGCTCTCCCGCTGTGCACCGCAGAGAAATCTCACAGAAGCTTCTGTGATCGCCGCCAATTTTTACCCCTCGAGGCATCAAAGTGCTGTCGCAATGATGCTTGGAGCACCACTAACGCAAAGGTCGCAATGATGCTTGGAGCACCGCTACCGCAACCCTCTGTTGAAAAAGGCCCTGCGATTACCACCTTCCAGGAGGGCAAAAGCATTGCCCCAAAAACCGTAGCCTGCCTAGCTAGAGCGGCGAGCATGCATCCGGAGCACCGGCCGTGGCAATGAGCAGTCAGGCCTCATCGAACTGTTCGGCAGCCTCTGCGAACTCGTCGACGACGTTGTTTCTGAACGTTCTTTGCAAAACGACCGCAACGAACCAAGCGCAGAGCACGAAGCATGCGCATCTCGCACACGTCAGCCCAGGAAGACGAAAAAGTGGGGCGTTCCCCACAGCTCTCCAGATGCATAACCATGCCCCGAAGCAGGAAAGCGGGGTAGCGACCGCCCTCTGCACATGTACGCGAAGCTGCATCCAGAAGCTGAGCCACTGTAGTAGACGAAGAAAAATCCACAAGGCATTCTGCAGATCCGTCTCGAACCACCTGTAAGCTGCCATGAGTCCGAGTGTCCCAATGCAACAGCTTATCTGATGATGGTTCAGAAGTCGAAGCCTTCTGCAGACTTTGCAGCCGGAACCAAAGCGAGGCATCATGGTGAGCAGAAGTTTCGCCCTCGTGGGCTGCTGAAGCCATTCCATGGCCGTAGGAAGCCGCTATCGCCGTTGTCCGGGGTGACTCACACTGCACCACCGACATAGGGCTTTCAGACCGAGGGTTGGACCCAGGGTCCCGAGAGCTCGCCACCAAGGTTGCCAGCCGCGACGATTGCGCCTCTTCAGAGCCCTCCTGATGCAAACTGTCAGAAGAGGCCATACTGTCAATACCGCCTGCAGCTCCCAACTCAATTGGCAGAAGGAAGTGAGGGCGGCCCGCCAGCGGAGAACAGCACTCCCGAGAAGCAAGCCCGAGCTCGCTGGATGAACTGCTCCAGCCACTGCAATCTGGAGGCCTGTCTGGCTTGCTCTTGCTCAAGGACCTCAATGCGTGCAATGGCCTGCAGAAAGCGATGCTGCAAGCTGTTGTGATCAAGCTGCAAGCGATGCAAATGTGAGCTGATAAGCTCCACTGAACTGGTGGCCGAACCCGAGTCAGAGGCAGCACCGTCGGAACGACCTGAAGACCCAGCGGCGAGGGCGTCGCCGAAGTCCATGGGACGACCCGGCGAAAGAAAAATTTCTGCAACCTTACATGTGCAAGACTTATGGCTAGTTCAATGGAGTCCAGCATAGTGTCGCTGACGTTTATGCAAAACCTGCCCAAATCAAAAACGCAAAAGCTCTCTCGTGAGCCGGCTTCGCTGCAGCATTCGATAAAGATGCGTAAAGGCTCAAAGCAAACATGACATGCCGCATGCAAAAGGAGGGAATACAAAATCGCAACAGGCCCGCAGGCAAAAGCAAAATGGTTTGATATTTAAACAGGATCGAGTAAACACGATAACCGGCCTCCGCTGTGCCTGGACACGAGGCTGTGGGCGTCCTGGCCCAGGCTGCTTGCTGCGGCTGCGTGCCCTTGGTGCAGTAGAGCCTTTGGCAGAGCTGCGTGGTGCCATGGAAGTCACGGCCGCCAGCGAATGCTAGAACACTAACGACCCTGAGCACTGGCCAGGGCAAGCAAGCACGGTTGCAGGTACAACCGGTCAAGGCGAAAGGCAGAGACTACCGAGCAGACTCAGGCGCCGACCACAAAGCGCCATGGCAGCAACAGCCACCCACTCATGTGGTAGGCTGTCACGTGCCAATGTCAAGACCATGCAAATCCCGCGCCATGTGGTCACTGACCCGTAAGGACATATGCCAAGCTAAACCTGTCAAACACCCGAGCCAAATCAAAGCCGCCATCAAAAGTGGACAAATTATAACAACAATGAATGAACGGACAACGGTGCACTGACGCTCACCCCCCCCACCCAGCTGTGGCCGGCTCGCATCTTTGAACAGTAAGGCTGGCTCCGGCTCCCCGGCGCGTCCTATCGACGACTACCGAACGCAAGCTAAAATAGGAAAAATGACTTGCGCAGTGCCCCTCCGTCACATGTGCAGCCACGCGGGCGGCTCGTGACGCCCATATGCCTAGTGCACCAGTAGCCGCCGACGTATGTCGGCTGCCTGCCCCCCCTGGACACAGCACCCAGCACAGAGCCGGACCCGAAAGGAGGTTCCGGCGACTGGGCTAGACCTCTTCCGGTTGCCGCTGTACCCAGCACTGTAGAAAGAAAATGGCAAACCAGTTGCCGTCAGCCAAAAGTTGGGGGACGACCTCGGAGGCAAATAAGAGGGCCTCCTGTCGGCAGACGGGGCCCGCCCTCCGCAGTAGAATGGCAGCAACTCGGCAGGCGTCACGTCCTACCCCTGCTCGATTGAAGGACATCCGGACCATGGAAATCAGCCGACTACAGTTGTTGCTGACGGTGGCGCCATATTCAACCAACAGCAGAGTAAGAGAGGCAGCTCGACGCGCCGCAGCGACGCTCAAGGGAGACCGCCCGTCGGCATCTTCGAAATTGACCTGCGCCTGAGCATGCAGCAGCAGCGCAACTAACATCGGGGTGCCCCGCTGGACAGCATACTGCAGCATACTGCAATGGATGGAACTGGCGGGCGGGAGCGTTCGGCGAAGCGCGTGCACCCAGCAGAACGTCCAATGCATCGCCAAGCTGTCGATGTATACAGTAGTATAGCGGCAAACCGAAGTCGCCCCAGACATGTGGTTCCACGGCCTCAAGCAGGTGCGGGTGGTGCTCCAAAGTGCGTAGGGCAGCAGTGAAGCTACCGCCAGCAAGTGCCCGACGCAAGCCAAGGGCTGGGGCCGGCAATCCGGAGGAGAATGCAACAGCGATGCCCCCCTCAAATTCCTGGATCACGCTTCCAGCTGTCGGGTATTGGAAGCAATGAAGCATAACACTGGCATGGTCGCCGCCTGCTTCGCTGTATGCGATCAGTCGCCCACTGAAGGCGAGACGCACAGGCAACAATGCCGGGCCGCAATCTGCATCGTCAACCGGAGCATGTCCATGGAGGCGAAACGACCGCAGCAGGTCCTCATCAGCCCACTGCTCGGCAAGTGCGAATGGGGAGACACCCTGGAGCGTGCCGTGTAGAGCTGGCGCATGCGGGCACGCTCTCGCTACCAGTAGCATGCTCACAAGAAGGCGATGGCCCTTGGCCACGGCCAACATCAGTGGGCTGTAGCCCGTCGGCGGGTCAAGGCTCGCGCGCTTGTGCAGCAGGAGGGAGGAACAGGAATAAGAATTGGCCGCCACTGCGTACACCAAGGGAGTGTGCCCCAGCTCATCCGGAGTGTCCACCTCGGCCATAAGAGCCAGCAAAGCAGCAAGGCATCCCGAGGGCAGCCCAGTCGCATGGGAGACAAGTGGGGTAAGGCAGGAGTACCCGTCCATGATCAGAGAGCGGTGGACTGATAAGAGACCACGCCGGAGCAAAATCAGCAGTAAGGCAAAGTGGTCGTCCAAGAGGCAACGAATGGTGTCATTCCAGATGTCATCTTCAAGCGAAAAGATGCCTGGGTGCATAAACAGTTCCAGGGCCGCTGCTTCGTCTTTCCTTTCAAGGCAGGCGTCAACGCTAAGAACCCACCTCAGCGGGGTGAAGTCTGCAGCCACCGGGAGCACAGCCACAGCAGCAGGACAGAAAACTGCATCAAGCACCTGAGCGGCGGCATCTCGGAGCTGGAGGAGTACCGGTGGGACACCCAGGACGGCTCCAACTTCCTGCAGCACCACCTCGGCAGAGACGGCGATGGGAGGAGTCGCGTAGGCTAGGGTGGGTGTCGCGTCGAACCAGCGATCCAAGCCCATAAGCAGGTCACTGCATAAGTCGGCGGGTCTGCTGCCCACCCGTACCTGGAGAAGCACAGGCTGCGCCATGGCAGTCACACCGGCCTCGGGTCCTACCGCTAAATTGCGGGAAGTAAGTATTACTCCCCGCGGCTATCACCCAGTGAGCCATAGCGGCGGCGGCCATTGCTGCCGTGAGCGAATTTCCAAGCAGACAAGCGAAAAAGAATACGATCCCAAAGCACTCATGCTGCTGTTATGGTCATGTGCGGAAAAGGCTCATATCCGCAGCTCGGGCGACGGTGAGCTTCGCTCCGTGCATTGCAACGGGCCGTCGACGTATGTCCACTGCCCATCCTAGGAAGCGCGCCCGCCCCCCCCCCCTCCCCTCCCCCCCTTTCCCCCTCCCTGACTACACCGACCCAAGTCTCAGAATTCAGACCAGGTCAGGCTGCAACTGCACCCAGCATTGCAGCACGAAGAGGGCCACCCAATTGCCGTCAGCCATCAGCTGGGGGACCAGACCAGAAGCAATGCAGAGGGCGTCACCGCGCGGTATGGGCCCCAAGCGTTTGAAGAGCACCGCCGCCACCTGGCAATGGTCATGACCCCCGCCCAAACGGCAGAAGGAGCTGTGCAGCAACTCCCGCAATTGGCCCCCCTGAGTACTCACACGGGCGCCATACTCCACTAGCAACATAGCGATGGATGCGGACCGTCGTAAGGCCGCGGTGCACAAGGGCGAGGATGACTCGGATGGGGACACCGCGCCTCCGAAGGGTATCTGCGTATTCGAGCGAGCGGATCGCGGCAAGTATGGCCGCCTCCGCCTCGGCTTCGTAAGCATCCGGGCACTCGGGAAGGGGGAGGGAAAAGGTGAGGTGAGCAGGACCTGTGGCAAACTGGTGCCACATTGCGACGCCAGCACCTCCTGCCGTAAGGTGTCGCTTACATCCCCCATCGAACTGCACATAGATAGCATCAGAGGGGTACTGCTGGACATGGGCCGTAAGGTAGGCACCTTCAGGGATACTGCAGAGTGCCGTAACAAAGGCATGAATGCGGCCACATTGGCAGACGCGATGCTCAACCCGCACATTTGGCCTGGGAACAGGGTGCGCCAAATACAGCAGGCCGACCTCAGTGGAATGAGGATCGAGCACAGCGAGTTGAGAGCCTTCGGAGAAGCTTACTGTCGTTACAACTGCTGACTGCTTGGCCGTAGCCCTATGGCGCGCGTGGGCAAAAACATCTACAGCAGAAATCGAGAGTCCTCGAGAGAAGAGACAACCTACCTGTGGTGCAGTACGAAGGCAGTCAGGGGGGGGGCCGAAAACGGAGCGGTACCGTGAAGGCGCCCCCCAGTATGCAGAACTGGCGATGGCAACTGCGTGGCTCAAAGGCCCACTAGCCTGAGTGCTAGAGGGCGGAGACCACCCCGGCTCCCACATTGCCCCAAGCTCACGTAGGTACCGCCGAGCAGATGCGAGAAGCTCAAGAGACGTGGCGGCACATCGCACTGTCTGACCCGTATCAAGCGGCCGATTAATCCCCAGTAGCCTTGCAGAGCACGTGAGGACTGGGCAGTCCATCAGCCAATGTCTGACAGAATTATCGGCCCATCCACACAGAAGACAGGGATGCTCCAAGTAGTGGAAGGCTGCAGGGGGAATAGCCCCAACAGTCCTAGGCGTGGGCGGCGCATGTAGGGCGGGCACAGTCAGCCACGTGTCCCCTGCGGCAAAGAGATGTGGAGCCAGAGCATCCACCCTACAAGCTAACCATGCTTTCGGCTCCTGCCATCCAAGTACTTGTAGGCAGGCCAGACAAAGCCCGCCCTCTCCGTAGTGGCCGATGCGGCGTAAATGCTCTTTAGGAAAGAAGCCTTGACAGTGCGCGCAGGTGTCCGGACGTGTGTAGTACTGTCTATAAATAAAGCCGGCATCGGCCTCCAGGGCTGTTTGGCAATTTTGCCTAGTAAGTATTGGGTGGCCTGTTGATCCTCGGTTTCCATTATGCATCGTTTGTACAACGCACGTACATGAGCCAAGGACTGGTCGCGGTTGTCAACCCAGGCACGGAAGTCGGTGCTGACTAATGTGCGCGCATACTGCTGAAGAGTCTGCTTGACCGGTCCAGCGGCGGTACACGCCTGCCTGAGAATCGCTGCCAGTAAAGGCTTTTCACGTGCAGCAACAGGACGCATGCCCCCAGCAGCAGCAACAGCAAGTTTGGGGGACAGCCTCAGGAGGAAGCCAAAACGACCAATGGGACAGGAGAGACGCCACGTGCCCGGCTGTGGGAGCTTGAAGATACGAAAGACGCCATTAACGTGTTTCGCCTCAAGCCAATGC